TCACTGGATAATATTTACGCAAATGATTCAGATGCTTTATGGCTTTTCATTATGATAAGCAAGAATTGCATCTAAGGATTGGTAGTAGATATTGCCAATTGTACATCTTGACTCTTTTTGATATTATTAGATAAATCAGGACAACATTTCAAAATGATTGTATCAAAGTATTGAAAAAGTTGTAAATTAACATTTTGTGATTCTCTGATGCCATTTTCTTGCCTTTCTTCTTCGTTTGCACTTTCACAGATTTCAATTAATGATCTTTTGCTACAAATCATTTCACCGTTACTTCTAGTCCAATGCTGATCAAGTTTTTGATCATTCTGTTTCATCGATGAACATTTTTTATTCTTCAGTAGCAATTTGTTGCCATCATTATCTCTTGTTCGTCGTGCTTGGTGAACTGAAAATTTTAAATTCTATACATACTAGATTTATTTCTCGAAATCAATCGCACGATTCTGAATAATTTTGTAAAGGATTTTCTATTATTTTAAATAATAATTTGGAATAATGAAAAGTTCTATGCATTTTATGAAAATAAATTATAAGTCACAAGGTATTATTAAATAAAAAATAGCGCCTTGTTCTTCTATACGAGCTATCAATAATATTGCTGTCGCTATTGTCTTAACTGATGATTTGTTATTTTACGTCTGAATGCACGGAAAAAAAGTGTAAAAATGCTCTCTGAAATACTAATTTTTGCATTTACAAATATACTTCTGTCTTGCAGTAATCAAAAGTGTTGTGATATGATAATTTTTGTTAGATGAAAGTGCGGTTATTTAAAAAAAATACTTAATTATGACTTAAAATACAAAGAATGATGCTTTGTTTTTCAACATCTAATTGCATTTAAAAAACGCTTTTCAAAACTGCTGTCAATAAATGATCATGAAGGAATGTATTTTAGTCAAGCGGAATCATTTAATTTTTAAATTTGTTGGAAACGTACTTGTAGAGACATTAATTTGAAATGACGTGAAAAAAGGCTTTCCAACACCTTCCTGACACGTATAAATTCCTGAGCAGCGTTCATCGATACAATTTACACTAAGTACCAAATCTCTATCTTTGTCCCAATTACAGTCATTCGCAAGATAAGTTTCATTTTCAGTCTTCTCGACTACAAACTTACCTCCGCATGACATTAATACTGTAGAGTTGTAACCTGTATCGATCACTTTAGGATCTAAATTACTTTCAGATTTGTGCAAAATCGAATTTGAATGTAATTTTCTTCTGCAAATGTCAATCAAATTTGCACAACTATTTTTATTTTTGTATCTTGCAGCATATACTATTATTGTTCAATTTCGGTGCTATTTTGTTTTAAGACGAATTTGCTGAGAATGAAGGTCATTTTACAACGCAATTTCAATCGCTGTGCCAAATTAAAAGAGCTTTTTCTGAAAATTAAACTGCGAAACCGAAAAAATCATGTATTTAAAAGGGGCATTTTTGAACTAAAAGTAAATATTTATGCTAAAAAAGAATAATTCTTTGAAATAAGTAAAGTATTTGAGTAAAGAATTAAGTTCAACTTACTGTCTGCATATAACTTTCCAATAATATTATTGCAATAAGTCAAAAAAAATATCAGAATAATACCAGAGAAAGTAGTCGAAATTGTCGCGCACATTGATAAACAAGTAAAGTAAATAAATGGTGAGAAAGGAAGGAAAGTACTGAAAAAACTCTGAATACAACCATCTGCGTTTACTGAGTGAATGAAATTAAAAATTTTGATATGCAATTGTAATTAAGTGAAATTTTTGCAACTGCTACAGACTAAATTATTATTCAGTTCTCGTAGAATGAAAAATAAGCAAAAAATGGTATTAGAATGCTCAGAAATTGGTGGATACACTGACTTTCAACAATGCTATCAAGTAGAGGTATCAGTGACTTCTAAAAATGGAAAGTATTTCAAATGATGCTGACAAAGTGCGGCGCGTAGAATTCACCGCTCTGATCGTAAATTAATTCATCAATACGCTTCAAAATACCGCCCGTTACAATTTCTTAAGAATATAATCATTGTTTACTTATTATTTTAAATTTTGATTTTTAATTTTCTA